GCATGGTACATCGATCACGTGTACAGACTGGGACAATTGACTGGTTAAATGTAGTATAAACATAGACCTGGAGGAGAAAAAAACAAGTGCATTGTGGAAAGAGAGAAACGTGCTGCCGGAATGTACGTGTTATTCATTCAAACAGCGATTCAAAAAATCAAAGGGTCAATGTAATGTGTGCACTTTGGAAGGAAAAAGTGCTCAGCAAAGGTGCATGGCAGTGTTTTGAAAAGAAAAAATACCGCACCATTCCTAAAAAAGGCTTTTAGTGACTTTTTATTTTCTTTTCAAAGGGGCCAGAAAGAACGCAGATTGAAACAAACATTAAGTGGAGCGTGCTGTCTCCAAGTGCCTCACGGGAAGAGGATCGATTGTGATGAAAAACTGAAAGAGCAGTTTCAACTTGTGCAGTGGGACAAGCACTAATTAGAAACCCAATTTGTATGTAAAATTAAAAACACTTTATATCTGCACTTTGTTTTTAGTTTTCTGTTAGTTTAGCGCAGGTACGGTGTTGCTTGTGTGAAGCGAAGAACACGTGGTTGTTCGCGGTGAAAAACGGAGGGCGCCCTTCTGCTTACGTCGCCGCGCTAACAGTGTGGACGTCACGTACGGCCGGTACGTACGTGTGCAGTCTACACGCAGTCAAAATATTGTGCATGTACTCTACGTGTTGCCCCGTACGCGCTCTCCAGCTGATCAAGACGAAAATGGAGAGGAGTTCATTTGTTTGGGTATTTCTGTTATTGTTTTCCCAGGCTTCGCCGTCATCAGCTTACATCGAAGGACTGTACTGCGGCAGGGAGAACTGTTACGACAGTAAGTACCAATTTATTTGGCTTTGGTGAAACAAAATGTTCGGGCATTTCGGAGACTTGTCAAGAGAGAGAAAAACTGACGAAATTCCCTTTACCTGTTAGGTTATGGGCCTCAATAAATATTGATACGGTTACCGATAAGCCAGTAACTAGGCTACATCATTATTCACTACATTTGCCACTGGCTAAAGCCTATGCGTGGTAGTACTGTAGGTATAGGGCTAGGCCTACATGTATTTAATTTGACAAAAACCTGTAGAACAACAGAGAGAAGTAAAGTGCACGTTATGTGTACATGTAAATGTCAGGGAAATTTAAAACTCTCATGGTGCAATATTCATCAAAAATCTGGAAACTATAACAGGGGACATTCCATCTGACGTGTCGCAGCAGGCGTGTACCTGTGCCCCTTAAGTGCCACACTTTTCATCATCATGCAGCACAAATGATGCGCGAAAACAGACCTGATAATAGACCGAGTGCTTAAATGAAATTCACATAAAACGTGTAGTTGAGGTCAGTCTCTTACATGTACCTTACGTACGACTGTTTCCTAGGATTCATGTACCTAGCAATCATCATCACATGGCAATTTTAGTGGCAACATCTGTGGTTATGCAAAATTTTAACTATTACACTTACAAATTTTAAATTTGTGCACTTTCAAAGGTTGCTCTGAACGGAATTCGTTCCTACATGTCGTGTAGTCAGCTTAGAAGTCCACATGCGGATCTTAGACTTTTTTCAATGACAAAATCAAAAGTAATCTTCTCCCAGCAGTGTTTTTTGTTTTTCTCTCCTGCAGTACTGGGCGTTTCAAGAGACTCATCAAAGGTTGGTACCATAACCAAAAATAATTAACCTGTAAATGTGTAAATAATGCCATATATACATGTAGTTGCAATATTGCCAGACTTATATAAATATTTGTGAAAACTAGACCCTCTGAAACTCTGTCAACATTAACAAGTGTATCGGTGTCGTGGACAAGTGTCTACCAAGGGCTGCCTAGTGCCCTTTATCCGGTGCATGTGTATATCCATAACCCAAAATAAGTAACCTGTAAATTTTAACCATTGTCTGATTTGGTTTCACTAACGCCAGACTTACTCTCATAAATATTTGTGAAAATTAGAAACTTTGAAACTGTGTTGGTATTATAAAGGGTATCAGTGTCGTCATCAAGTGACCGCCAGGGGCTGCCTAGTGCCACATACATGTAATTCTGTCAGTATTTGAGAAAAATGGGACCTTTTGTCATACATTGTGCATCCGATGCAAAGATTTTATGTGCATGGTTATCCACTCCGAGCAGAACAAAAGAGGGCGTGTTATTTTGGCACTCACCGCACAGGTGCGCGTTTATAATGCGGATCAATGGTGAATTTTGATGCGGAGCACGCTGAGTTTATATTTAACAAATTTATTCCTTAATGTATGGTCTTTGTGTACACGCAGAAGGCTTGCAAGAACCCGCTTGGAAAACTGACTACCATCTGGCTCTCTTTTACCGCTTGGGGGGGTGCACTTCAACTCGGGGCGGACAGAGCCTGTTCTTTTGATTTCACAGTTGTGTTTTTCTTACTGGTGGCTTTTAAAGTTTTGGCTGGCCGTCAGTGGAAAAGTAAACGAATAATTCACAAAGTTTAAATGAAAATTCCGTACAGCTATCACTGTATCAGAACACCAGATGCATGTAAATCTAATTGGATGTTTGTCCGTTTGAACAAAATTGAGGTAAATTCCGAAACCAACCAAAAGGTAATATTTTTTCAATCTTTGGCAGCCCGTTTAAGTTGTAGACAAAATGAGAGTGGTCGATACGTCAGACATGTGTAAAAACTATGTGTTTGTTTTGATGAAATTTTACACAGGCTGAGATAGGCAAGGCGTACCGCGTTCTGGCAAGGAAGTATCACCCTGACAAGTACAAGGTATGTGTGACTGACATGAGGTCCTGATCCTTTTGTTGTGCCCTGCTGGAACATTAATTTCAGGTGGGACGGTCCCAACTACGGTGCTGCAGGTGGGCAGGCCCAGTTGTGGACTGGTCTCCGTCCCAATTATTTGGGGACCGGTAGCTAGCTGCGGTGTAACGTTTGCAATTAGCCCTGTCAATTTGATGCTGAATATATTTAAGTTTTTGTCAGGCCAATAGCAATTCTTGAACATGAAATACGCTTCAGTAGGGAGGCGAATAAAACACAAGTGCCAATCCTTGCTAAGCCTTGCTGAGGTCATGCGGTTAAAATGGGGTAGGACGGGAAACAGGAGACAAGTACTTTTATTCTTTCTTTCTTTTTAATTTTAGCCCTTCTAGTACATCACACTAATACATAAATGTTGTACTTCGATGCATTAATGTACACGTAAGAAAACTTTACAAAGTCAGTGGCTCTTTCCTCGCCTTCCACCGAGCTGCAATCCAGGTTTGAATCCTACCTGGATCAACATGTGGATTGGTTTTTTTCATTCCCTTCCTGACTCCATGGATTTTCCCTGAAGTAGCTATTCAGGGATTTCCTCCCACCTCTAAAACTGAACATTTCTTCATTTTTCTTCCAAAATTGTCACATCATTCAGTAATTGGCACTAAATGTGCTGTTGGACAAACAGATGAAATAAATGCATACGTGTACCATAGAGCAAGAACCCACTGTATGTCATTAGACAGATTCGAACACACACACAAGTGTGTAAATACCTTCAATCGTGGATTCCCTATTGTTCCTCCTTTGTTCATACTTTTAACTTTTTCGGAAGACCTCCCATATGTTTTGTACACGTTTTCCAACCGTGGACTCTTC